TCCACGTGTACATCCCCCCACACATATGGATCTCGTTCAGGCACATAGAATTTATAACTGAGTTAAACAAATCAATATAAATGGAGTGGTGCCAATTCTTGTTCTTCTCCCCACTATGTCTGAGGATATTAAAGTCCCCCCCAATAAGGAAAGGTGTTTGAGTGTGGCTACAAAACTCTGCCAGCTCCACTACAAAATCATTTTTGTCACAATCATGTGCAGGACCATAAACTGTACATAAGGTCCAGACTTTCTGAATGTCGACATCAAGGAAACAAACTTGTAAAATGAATCTCCCTTTTCTCCAGGAGATAACTTCGAACTTCTCTTTTTTCACTCCACAGAGGATGCCTCCTGATTTCCCAATAGCTGGGATCCAGTCCCAATCAAAAGCATTATGAGGATTTATCTTCCTGAAGTAGCTCTCCAGAAAGTTTTTCTTATGGGTCTCTTGCAGGCAAACAAAGTCCAGGGAATGATCTCTGATCATATGAGATAGGCAGGAACTCATTCCCTTTTTTCCTGCCCCCTACAATTCCAAAAAATTCCTATCATTTACAATGACTTTTCCTCCCTCTCCCCCCTCTGGTGGCCCTGTAATGATGGACAGGACTGCCAGTTTTGGTATTATCTTTGCCCATATCAAATTTTTGACTTCTAGTAACAGGTCTAGATATAGCAATTTTAACCTTTGGCCTTTTTTTCCTCCTGGATTTTACTAAAATAAAATTGGCCTCAGGGTCATCCCCCCATTCAGTGCTAACTGAAGTTTGATCACCCTTTCCATTAGTGATATACATCACACAGTCCCCATCCTGATTGTCAGAGGAGGGGGCATGTACATCACTATTATTTCCCCTCATTTTCTCTAATTCTCTAAGGATATCTACACTAGAGAAATTAGAGTCAGGTATAATCACGCCCATATTAGATGCCCTAAGCATAAGATCATTATAAATGATGCAACTTTTTTGTTCAAACAAATACATAGAGTATTTCGCACATCCTTTCATTTGGTAAGAGAAATCACTATGCATAAATAGGTCTCCTGCAAGAACAAGAGCCAAACGAATAATATAGTGCAGCATTCAGTGGTCACAAGTTCTTGGATGCATACGCACTGGGGGTCACATGAAGACAGCGAGGATGGACATCGATCGATATCTAGCACAAAATATGAAGAAAAAAAATACAAGTGGCAGCATTAGCCGCAGCCGCAGTTGGGGGTCAACGAAAACGCCGCTCCAACTCAGCAAACACTTTGACCTTTGTTAGCGAGCCACTAGCAGTCCAAGCACAGCCTTTCATTTCAATAGACAAAAGCCCGGCCGAGCTGGCCACGAATCCTACCATTACCATGGTACTACCATGCACGGTCTCTGATTGGATCAGGTCTCGCTTAAATCCAATCGAATGTCACGGACAAAACCCAGACCAACAATAGTAGTATACTCGTCTCTAGCACTGCAGCGGCCTGTCAGTCGAGCTGCATCAAACCGGAGTCCCCAGAACACACATGCCGGCCTGACCAGTAAGCAATACCCATATCAGACGGACATGATAATATCTCCAATAAAAAAAGGAAAACCCACGGCACCTCCATGTGTTGAAAACACACACAGCACACAAGAAGAATACAAGCGGGGTTGCCAAAGTTTTCAACTCCGGGTGTGGAATCTGACCGCACATCGCCCCCCTTGTCCCTCAAACCATTTTCCCCGCTTATACATGGCGCCAAGTTGGGGTTTTAAATCATTTCACACAGCACCGCAGCAAGGAGCACCGCCGTGGAGTTGACCTGGAAACCCAATAATTTTTTGGGCGACCCTGCCCAATTAATAACGCTACTGCTACAGCGGGAGCGTTTGGCCTTTGCGCTGGTATGGAACGTTTTCACGTCTTGACAAAACTGGTGGTTGCGCCTGTCAATTCTGCGGTGCCGCGCTCATCCGTCGGAGCACGAATCCAAGGGGGCACAAAACAAGGTCAAATTTCGCTCGTTTCGCGTAGATGCTGGTATGGCTTGGGCGGTCGTACGTGCTGTAGTTTGTAGACTATTGTGCTGTGCACGCTTGAAAATACAGCAACACAAGTGTACATCAGTACGTATAGCTGGCTGCACGTGTAAACTCACACTGTGGAGGTCTGTTGGATTGTTGTGCCGCCGCGCCTGAAGCTTGGGACTACTCGCTGTCCGACGAAAGAAAGAAAGAGCCCTGCGTACATGTGTTTATTGAGCATCGTGTGCGGATCTTTCTCGGGCGATCGACCGGGGGTTTGGGATCTTGTGGGTGATGATTTCGCGCAGAGGACTTCGATACTCAAACCGAAGAGTCGGTGATTCTGACATGTACACGTACCGAACGTTTCCGCTTAGGATGACCCAAAAGATCCCAACAACGAGGCCCTGAACTAGCTCGGTTTTGCTTAAAGTCAACTTCTGGTATCATCTTCGTCGACCGACTGATAGGTACAGTAAAATCCATTGACACAAGTAATCTCGTCTTGAGTTTTGATATTGACGTCCCATGCAACAGCAAAATATGAATACTAAGTATTAGGACATGGCAGGAGACATTTTCGTCGACTACAAAGACGTCTGTGATGACTTCGTTAATCTCAAAATGATGTATCGGCTTAGTTTTTTAGAGGTGTTCATAAGGTAGAGTATGCGTGCGTGCGTTCATATGAATGCATGTGCATATGTATGAGCGTCCACATTTATATTGTGCTAAAAAAATTACGGCATTGTACTAGTTACACATTTTCTCTATGTCACCTACAAAACACATATACAACCATGGTTTCTAGCCATACACATTTACATTACAAACCACTTGCAACAATAACAAAAACCACTATCTTTAAGCTGTTTATATAAAAATGTATTGACTGTCGGTGAAATCCATTGTCTTTTTTCTAGAAAATTAGTAAAATTGCACGCATGTACATAATGCTTTATGAGCACCTCTAGGCACCGTGTCAAGTCTAAGACTTAAAGGATGGGCAGACTCAACCACAAGGAAACTAATCATCCGTGACTGTAGACACTCCACATCATGAATTTTCTGGTGCTTTGTTATAGATCGACCCAGAATGTTGGTTATTGATCTATTGGATTAATAATATTCATTTTTAAGAAATGCCATCACCTTCAATTTCCATGTTACGAGGCCAAGTCCGGCCTACGCGATTTGCGAAAAGGGCTCTCGAGATATTGAAACGTTTTTCATGCAGAAAAGAAGAGATATTGAAATGTTTATAAACAATGTAAATGTAGGAGAACTGATTGTGGGTTGATGTCTTTTGTGTGTGAAAATGATTCGGATCTATTATCAGAGTTCGGCAGAAGTACAAAGCATCTCGAACATAATAAAAATTACACTAAGATTCCAACAGCCTCAAACAACCGCCAAAATGAGCCGGCAACGCGCCGCTTTCGCCGCTCCCCTACCTGAGCCAGCTTGACCTTGCCGATGACAGCCGGGAAGTCTTTGTGCACGTGCCCTTTAGGGCCAACGCCCTGGAGCCGCAGTCGTCGCTCCCCTACCGAAGTCGGTTTGACCTTGTCGATAACAGCCGAAAAGTCTTTGTGCACTTGCCCCTAAGGACCAGTGCCCTGAAATCGGAGTCATCACCGTCAAATCCTTGCATAGATCTGAAGCATCTTTGATGAAGCAACATGCCAATACAGTCTTATGAATGTCAATCAATTTTAGTATACATAGCTTGGTTTGGGAAAGTAATATAAGTTCTTTTAGATCACTACTTTATAGTGATACAAAAGGTCTTATATTACTTTAGAGAGAGAGTATTATCCAAGCAAAAAAATAGTGATGTTTTTGTGACGTCCAAACTGAAGTAAAATTCTTCATGTTTTGCTGAAAAAGGATTATTTTGTAAAATTCCACGGAGTTCATGTAGGCTCGCTCCTTTGTTCCTTTTTTTTGCGGGAATATTTACCCTCTTTTTGGAGAAGGAAAAAAACCCGCAAAATTTCTACGGTCGAACAGGCAATAGTATTTACCTGCAAAAAAGAAAGAAAAAACAGGCAGTAGTATTCCCTCCCTTTCTACACAGGAAGCAGAGCTGTCTACTCCTGGCTGGCAAAAACGAGATCGCCCTGGCTGTCACCCAAAAGCGAAGAGAAGAGAAGAGGTCTACAGCGCGAGCGCGTGGCCATCGTGGGGAGGAACTCTGTGCAGCGCGAGTGCGAGTGAGCTAGTAGCAGCACTTGAAATGGAGGCGAGTCAATTAGTCAAACTCCCACGACTTCAAATCCGTGTACGCGAGCGCGCGCGAGCCGGTTTAATTAATTTTAGCTGCGTGGCCAATTAGCCCGGTAAATATCCCACCACGCTTCCCCTCATCCATCCCTAAGACTGGTCATAGCGAGAAGTAACTTAGACTAGTATCATATGCATGATACTAGTCTAAGTTACTATGCAAAGTAACATGATAATAGTGTCATAGATGACTTTATTTATTAGCTTATAGACTTATTTTGTCTTGGAAAACGCTATGTTACATTAACATATTATGTTACCACCTCACATTAAATACTTGCCACATAAGCAAAAAAATTTTAGAGTGTGCTATGTTACTAGCTAAGTTACTCCCACTATGACTAGCCTAATAAAGCACGATTAATTCTAGTACCCCTAAACTTTTGGCTTTGAAAGATAGAATAATCTCCGTATTTGCGGCGTGCTCCCCCACATGCTTCTTCCCAAGTCCACCACAGCTCCCCCACCTCCTGCTTCCCTCGCCGCCCGTCTATATAAGCTTCCTCATTCCTCTCCCGCCCAATCCATCACTCGCACCCCGCGAATACTCTTCTCTTCCCTTCTCTTCTCTTCTCTTCTCCGCACAGCATCACTGCCTCCGGCCGTCTCGAGCAAACCAAACCAAAATCTCCTGAGTTGTCTCGCTCGCCTCATCAATCCTTGGCGTCGCTAGCTTCATCTGGAGGCGAGGAGGCGGACGGTTTGAACCCGATCATGGATATGGCGCACGAGAGGGACTCGAGCAGCGAGGAGGAGGTGATGGCCGGCGACCTCCGCCGCGGGCCGTGGACGGTGGAGGAGGACATCCTGCTCGTCAACTACATCGCCGCTCACGGCGAGGGCCGCTGGAACTCGCTCGCCCGATCAGCAGGTAGGATCATTGCACTGCACAATCCAATCCATGCATGCATGCTGATGCTGGTCTTTCAAGTGCTAGCTGTAGTAGATTGGTTGCTTGCATCATTTTGTTTCCGCGAGAAGTGCGTGAGGCTTAGATATTTCTAGTATATCATGGATGGAGGGGGAAGCAACAAACCTGTCGCTCTGCATCACCATGCTAATATATGGAAACAGATAGCTACGAACCTACTGCCTGATTTGTCTAGCCGGAAGCTAGCTATAGTGAATGAGAGAGATGGAGGGAGAGGGGAAGAATTTTTAGTGGTTAGCATTATTCCCAGCCATAGGGATATTTATTACTAATCTCTCCTCCATTACATCACCCGTCTCGTCACATACATGCTCCGCATCCGCATCCGCATCCGCATAAGTAATCAGCAAGTTGGCGAATTTATATTTGTTAGTAGCAACCACTGATGTGATGTTCCATTCATTCCATGTGATTAATCTTGCCTTGCGTACCAGGTCTGAAGCGCACCGGCAAGAGCTGCCGCCTCAGGTGGCTCAACTACCTCCGCCCCGACCTCCGGCGCGGCAGCATCACCCCGCAGGAGCAGCTGCTCATCCTCGAGCTGCACTCGCGGTGGGGCAACCGCTGGTCCAAGATCGCGCAGCACCTCCCCGGGCGCACCGACAACGAGATCAAGAACTACTGGCGCACGCGCGTGCAGAAGCACGCCAAGCAGCTCAAGTGCGACGTCAACAGCCAGCAGTTCAAGGACGTCATGCGCTACCTCTGGATGCCCCGCCTCGTCGAGCGCATCCAGGCCGCCGCCACGGCCGACGCGGTGCAGGCCGCCGCTGACACGCCCCTGTCGTGGCAGCACGGCGCCGACGACGCTCTCTACGAGTCACCGGAGCTCCCTGTCGACGCGTGCTGGCCAGCGGAGTACGCCGCCGTGGCCGGCGGGCAGCTGCCCAACGCCTCGGTCGCGGAGCTGTCGAGCACTACTACCGCCGGCTCTTCCTCGCCGTCCACCACGGACTCTGGCGCCGGCGCCCAGCCCAGCTGGCCTGCAGCAGTCGACGGTGCCGAGTGGTTCACCACCGCCTGCGACGCCTCCAGCGCCGCCGCCACCATATGCGACACGGACCAGCTGATCCAGCAGCAGGCACCGTCCCAGCCCGCGGGTGCGTGGACGTCCGAGCCGCTGCCGAGCCTCGGGTTCCCCGAGCTGGGCGTCGCGGACTTCGAGATGGGCAGCTTCGACGTAGACAGCATCTGGAGCATGGACGACTTGTGGAACACGCAGCCGCAGTTCGTGTGAAAAGTCAAGACGGTGGCATGGAAATCCTCAGCTGCGACGGTGCCCGCGGGGGGGCGTGCGGCCTCCGGGTCCGGGGACGCGTAGCAGATCCAGCGGAGGGAAACGGATTAGAAGAAGAAGGAGAGGAACCACCTGGGACTGGGAGGATTAAAACAAGACTAATTTACCCTGCACGTGAAGATCTCCCGGCCTGTTCTGCTCCAGTTCTGCGCCGTCTTGTCTCCTGTGTTAATTTATTACTACGTACAAGGGTAAACAGATACGTAAAAGTGTAGCAGAAGCAGATGATCTACTAGTGTTAGCTGTGCCGCCGTTAATTATGCTATGTTCCGTTTAATCTTACTCATTCTTTTCGAGTGATTACTACTACATATATAAGTATAAAGGAGGAAGTACTAGTATATGAAGTGAACTGTTGATAGGAACTGTAGTTTCTAGAAGTGGTAATAAAAGCAATGCTCCGACGTCAAGTCATGGTTAAATTCGTACTGCGAGCATAGCATTCCGCCCATTTCTCGCCGCTAATTGTGATCCTCGCGCACTTGAATTCCAAGTGACGAGAGGTTTTTTTCTCCTTTTTCTTTTTCGCTGCGGTTGTTTGCTATGATTACGATGACGACGACCGCGCTGGGTCGATAGATTTGTTTATGCCGACATGGATGTTTTATACTCCCTCCATTTTAAAATATAGTACGTCTGCGTTTTCTGAGGTCCAACTTTGATCATAAATTTAACCAACAAGACCAACTGCGGTGGGAGAAAAATTATATAATTGAAAACTTCTTTTGAATACGAATTCACTGATATAATTTTTGCTCCCGCCGCAATCGGTCTTGATAGTTAAATTTACGGTCAAATTTGAAGCACGGGAATAGAGTAAGCACTATATTGTGGAATGAAGGGAGTACCAGAAATTCAGTACGAGCGGTGCTGTTACATCAGCGCCAACAGTTCCCAGATGTGATCTGCAGGGCCGCTGCATTACACTTGTTGTCCTCGTAGCAACTCTTCCGTCGTGTTCACACTCGGCATAACTCATTCATTACAGAGAGAGAGTATATAGCAAAGCAGAGCTCATCTGATGAATCCAAGTGCATGCCGAGCAGATATGCTTTAAAATTTCAGCACTAACCGCACGGCACGCGCGTGATCAGGTGACGGGTTACTCCAGTTACAGTCACTAACACACACTTGCATGATCGGCTGCGCAGTGGGCCGGGCCCTGCCTTTGTACGGGCAACGAGAAAAGAAAACCAAGTGAAGGAGAGGAGTGGCACGATATTTTCCGTATTTTCACACTGCATTTCCTTTCCTTTCTGAAAAGGAAAAAAACTCTGTCTAAAAGGCAACTCCTGGGAAAAGCTCCCCGCGCGCGATTGTCGTGGCTGGGCCGACCTAGCAGAACGCACCACTCGCCAGCGAACGTCAGTTTCCATCGGCGATTTTTCAGATGCGGCGTCGGTATTTTTTTCCTGCGTCCTACTCCTGCGAGGGAGCACCGTTTGATTGTTGAATTGGTAAAAGGCGGAGAAACTCCATGGACTATGGAAACGTGGATTCGTTAGTTCGTACTTGAATGGGACGAGGACGGAACTGATGGGTGGGTGACAGGGAAGTGTGCATCCTCCGCCGATTTCTTGCAGAACGTCGTCGTTTGTGTTCTTGGTAGTACCCCTGTCTGGAACTTGCATGATTTGATTTCGGTCGGTGGCTTTCTATCTTTTGCACGTTGATGATGACTTCTTTTTTGAATTTCTGACGCATTTCTATTAGGACTTAAACACATGGGGAATTAGATGATGCCCCGCTCGTTGCTGCAGGAATCTTGATAAAACTTATGCATAAATAGATGCTAGAAAAAATAAAACTATTGCAAAAACAAATTTAAGAACGCTCTTGGGATATATTTTTAAAAACAATAAAGCATATGATAAAATTTTGAATAAAACTCCCGCAAAAAAATTGTTGTATCAAAAGGAAAATCTATTGGACTGATGTCAAAGAGGGTGTCATTTTTAACAAAAATGTGTAACATGACCTACATATACTTACTCCAAACGTACAATGCGCAAATATATGTAGTTCATGCTACGAAAATCTGTAATATGACCGTCTATGCCCGCACAAAAATAAGTGAAACAAATTAATATGCGTGGTTGCTGAGATGACATGGTTGTATGTATAAATTAGTGTATAAATTGTAACTTATGACCACACACATGACTTGATGGTGTGGCATAGTTGCATGAAGAGAAAAAGTAGATAGTGGATTGCAACTATTTAAGTAAGAATAGAGGATGACAGATATCTACTCTCAAAATATGCTTTCGCCCCGCTTTATAGATAAAGCATACGTCCATACAACCACATCTTAAGCACAGTCATAAAAGAGAAATGCTGGAGCCACAACACAAAGACGCCCAAATGAAAGAAGAAGAAACAAAAAGGCCTCCAAGGGCAAGCTACGAAACATGCGAGCAGTCGGAGAGCCAACGCGCGATAGACACCAGGGCGTCCAGGAATAGCTGAAGTCGATCACGATCCCTCGGCCTAGCGAGCGGATGCCAGTGCTGCAAGAAGGTAAGAAATTTGAAGAACGACTCATAAGCACGTCGCGGGAACACCCGCTCAATCACCATCTTGTTGCGAGTAGTCCAGAGAGTCCACATCATAGCCGCGAAGAGGAGCCAGAACAGTCGGCGCTTACGGCCAACCTGAGTGGCCCTAACCTGCAGAAACTCTGCAAGGTCATGAGCCTCCCACCCTGGCCCTAGAGCCTCACGAACAAAGCACCAAAGTGCGTGCGCTGCTACGCAAGAGAACAAAATGTGCGTTCCCGTTTTCGGGACATGGCACAAAGGGCAAAGGCCATTGCCCGGACCATGGCGTTTCAACACCTCAGTCCCCGAAGGCAGACGATCACAGAGGAGCTGCCATACAAAAATCTTAATTTTCAAGGGAAATGGTGCCTTCCACAATAGGGATAGCCACTGTAGAACCGACATACGACATAATGCCTGATAGGCCGAACTAACGGAGAATTCACCCGAAGGAGAAAGGCTCCAAGAAACATTGTCAGGGTCCTGGGGCAGAGGAAGAGGGACTACTTCCCTTAGGTCTGTCTATTCATGTACCTTATCTGGTCCGAATGAGCGGCGGAATGCAATGTTCCATCCCTCCTCCAAAGCAGCCGCAGATACAATAATGGTCGGGTCATCACAAATCGCAAAGAGCCCCGTGAACCGCAAGCGGAGAGGCTCGCCCTCAAGCCATGGATCCAACCAAAATTGGGTCCCAGACCCATTGCCAACCGAGAAACGCAAACCCAGCCTAATCTCTTCCTTGATGGCCAGAATAGATTTCCAGAACTGGGACCCAGCCGAGTGTGAGCAAGCCATGATGGGTTGGCCCTGCAAGTACTTGAACTCAACCAGCTGCAGCCACAACCCTCCATCTCCCAGCAAGATCCGCCAAACCCAACGCAGCATAAGCGCAACATTCATCCGGCGAGATGCAGGGATGCCCAACCCACCTCGGTCCTTCAGCAAGCAAATGTCAGCCCACTTCACCATATGGTACTTGGGCCGACCATCCACTGCCTTCCAGAAAAACCTAGCCAATTCCTTGTTAAAGGAGCTATGCACACCTTCGGGTAAGATGTACATCCCCATCATATACAATGGGAGGACGGAAAGGTTAGAGCTAATGAGGACAGTTTTGCTACCTTTAGAAGTGAACCTACCGCACTAGGGCTCCGCACGGTACGCTACTCGTCCCACAAGCGGATCATACCCACTCACCAAAATCCTGGACTCAGTCAGGGGCATCCCCAAGATATGGGGAATGGCGCCAACCTACAGTTGAGGTTATCCGCGATCCGAAGCTGCTCAGCCTCCGAATAGCCAAGGACCACCACCTCGCTCTTATCAAAGTTAATCTTAAGTCCAAACATTTCCTCGAAGTAGAGCAAAAGGAATTTAAGATTAGCAATGTCCGAGTCCGAGCCTTCCACCATAATCATGGTGTCATTCGCATACTGCAAGTGAGTAACCCCCCCCCCCCTCCATCCGGGATGAGGTGACTGACTACACCCTTAAGGTGGCCGGCCAACTTGGCCTTATCTAAGATGCCTGCAAGGGCATCAACCGCGAGGTTGAAAAGCAAGGGGGAGACAGGGTCCTGATATGTCTCCAATGTATCTATAGTTTTTGATTGTTCCATGCTATTATATTATCTGTTTTGGATGTTTAATGGGCTTTAATATACCTTTTTATATTATTTTTGGGACTAACCTACTAACCAAAGGCCCAGTGCAAATTGCTATTTTTTTTGCCTATTTCAGTGTTTCGCAGAAAAGGAATATCAAACGAATCCAAACGGAATGAAACCTTTGGGAGAGTTATTTTTGGAACAAACGTGGCACAGGAGACTTGGAGTGGCCGTCAAGAAAGAAGCAAGGAGGCCATGAGGTAGGGAGGCGCGCCCAGGGGGTAGGCGCGCCCCCACCCTCGTGGGCCCCTCGCAGCTCCATCGACGTACTTCTTCCTCCTATATATACCCATATACCCCGAAAACATCCAGGAGCACCACGAAACCCTATTTCCACCACCGCAACCTTCTGTACCTATGAGATCCCATCTTGGGGCCTTTTCTGGCGCTCCGCCGGAGGGGGAATCGATCACGGAGGGCTTCTACATCAACACCATAGCCTCTCCGATGATGTGTGAGTAGTTTACCACAGACCTTCGGGTCCATAGTTATTAGCTAGATGGCTTCTTCTCTCTCTTTAGATCTCAATACAAAGTTCTCCTTGATTCTCTTGGAGATCTATTCGATGTAATTCTTTTTGTGGTGTGTTTGTCGAGATCCGATGAATTGTGGGTTTATGATCAAGATTATCTATGAACAATATTTTATTCTTCTCTAAAATATTTTATGCATGATTTAAATATCTTTGCAAGTCTCTTTGAATTATCAGTTTGGTTTGGCCTACTAGATTG